AAAACAAGTAGTTTTTTTGTGTAGTTTCGCGTATAAAATATAACTTACTCATAAAACATTTTTGCAAGCTCTGAACGTAACTGTTTTGCTAATACTTTATAAAATTACGAGATGATAGTTCATTCTTCGTCGGGTTTTGTTTTTCTTCAATCTAAACGAAGTGTTTTCATGTTTTTGAAACAAAAATATTTCAGTTGTTGATATTTAAAACTGTAAATCGCGGCTAAATGATCGTCGAAAACATATGGTTTCAAAAGCGTTGCCTCAAGCTCAAGCAACGTATAAAAAAGTATAAAAAGTAGTTGTGTAAGTTTAAAAAGATTATTGAACTCTATTTATATTATAAAACAGTTGAAATATATTTTTTAAAACATACCTATTGAGTTTCAGTTTGTCTTGATTTTTCGTGTTTTGTTTTGGCTTGCACAACAACGTTGAAAATGTATTTTGAAACGACGATTTCTCTATATATTCTGTTCAGAACTATTGCTCTTCGTAAAAAAAAACACGGGAATGGGTTTTTCTCCATTAAAAATTAAACACTTTTTTTCCACTTCAAGTCTGGATAGAATTGTTTTTGCAAACTTTATTGAAAAAAACAATTCGCACTCCCGGCACCGCGCGAAATTCCACGCCACAGGAGTCTGGGACTAGCCAAAATGCCCTTATAAATCCGCCATTTTGTGGAGACAAAATTTTTACTGAGAAGAGATAGGAGCACGCATTCTATGTCTATTATTTCTATGCATGAGATACTCTTACCTTAATGTTCTTACAAAATGAATTGATTGCTTAATTTAAACATACTAAAAGCACATATAAACTGACTAGCCGTACTCTTAACTGTGCATCAGAGGTCATAGGTGTATGAGGCAGCGGGGGGGGCACCCCCCAAAATTTTGGAAAACCATGGAAATTCAGACAAATGCTGGAAAAATCAAGAAAATTCAGGCAGATTTATCAGAAAATAGGTTAAATTCAGGTAATTTCATTACAGTCCTACATAAAATTCGGGCAAGCTTTCAACTGCCCCCCCCCCTCCCCCTGGAAAGCATCAGCCCTGCATGCCTGTGTCAGAGGTCTTCAAACTTTTGCACAAAGAATCTACCATGGTGCTGTCACCATAACTGAGATATTGTACAGTATTATTTCACAGAAGACAGTAGTAAATTGCCAGAAGTCAAATTGTGGTCTGGATTCTGGAAACTTGGCTTGGCCAAAGTTTTTGTTAATCTTTTTGTTCATGTTTATCAATGCAATTTGTGCATAGTAAAGACAATGTATTTTTGGACAATGACTCAATCAGGATGTGTTTGCACTGTTTGTTCCCAGTTGTTGAGACAATTAGTCAGCAACAAGTTGTTATTATCACTTTGGTTGATGACAGTAACAGACTGGCACGAGCTTGTTGTCATCAGACTTGTTGGAACAACTTGTTGCGAGTCTGTTGGCCTTATCAACCTTGTTTAATATAACTTGTTTCAGACATGTCAACAATTGGGACAACAACGACAATTACAATCTGCTTATTGACTAAGCAACAGGTTTTTTATTATCAACCGCACTACTACTTAGTAAAACTGTCCTGTCCATTTTTGCTTTTCACTAGTAAACATGTCGACAAATGAAGATTCTGGTGCCTTTAAATGTACGTTGTGTACTAAATCTTTTGAACAACAAGAACATCTTGATCTTCATATAAAATGGCATAATGGTTGTAGACCTTATTCCTGTAAAGAATGTGGAGCAAAAATGAAATACAAAGGCAGCTTAACAGTCCATATGAAGCTGCATAACACTGAACGACCTTATAAATGTTTGAATTGTGAAAAATCATTTTCAAAATACAGTTATTTAGAGCGTCATCTGCGAGTCCACACAGCAGACAAACCGCACCCATGTGATGTTTGTGAGAAGACATTTCGTGAGAAGGCACACCTAGCAGCACATGCTCGAACTCACTCAGGAGCACGACCATTTATTTGTACGGAATGTAAAAAATCATTTCGTTATCGGTCTAACCTTGCAGTACATATGCGTACCCATAACGGAATCAAGCCGTATAAATGTTGTAACTGCGAGAAATCCTTTGCTGAGTCCAGTAACCTCGACAGACATTTGAGAAGTCACGAAGGATCCAAACCATTCACATGCGATATTTGCCAAAAACAATTTACTCAGAAATCAAGCCTGATTGTGCATAAACGAATGCACACTGGAGAAAAACCGTTCCAATGTACCGTCTGCAAACGTGGCTTTACCAAATCTGGTGACCTAAACAGACATTTTAAAATACATTCACGAGATAGACCATTCCATTGTTATGAATGTGGAGAAAGATTTGCTATGAAAGCAAAGTTAATGGCTCATTTGAAGATCCATACTGACAAACCTTATGATTGCGAATTGTGTGGTAAAGCATTTACGACTGCACGCGAATATAACTGTCATATGTTCGAAGAACACGAAAAGAAGGATACTAAAGATACTACGGTTGAATATGATAGTGAGACCAATATTGAAACTGGTACTAATGACGATGAGACCAATATTGCAACTGGTATTGATGATGATGCCAAAACAGTTGAAAATCTTAATGAATTAGAAAATGCTCAAACTGTGTTGTGTGATACTGTCCAGTATGAAGATTGTGAGAATATTGAAGTGGCACAGACTGAATATGTTATATCAATTGAATGCGAATGAATTAAATAACATTAATTGATGAATGTCATAGTAACTTTGAGAGGTTTATTGAATTCTAAAAGGCGTATAAGTTGTGTCATTTAGTTTTGTTCTACACGTGTAAAGGAATATCTTCTAGACCTATGCATTATTAGCTAGCTTGTTTTGATATTGTCGTTTTGCAGTTGTTTTAAAAGGCTCTTAATGTAACCACGTGTTATTAAAATATTTGGGGAGTGTCAATATACATTAAGCCTTTGTGAATCAAACTAATCAGGTTTTCTACAGTAGGTCGGGTCAATGTGACTATCAGTTTAGCAGAACTGCCTACTGGAGGGCAGAGGAACAACTGGAACTTGCTCTGGCCCCCAACCTGCATGAGAGGTGCCCTACCTCCGCAGCTTCTCGTGCATCATGGGAACGCCACAATTTCTAGAGGCGCTGCCAAATCCTGTAAAAAGCTAGAGTCCAATCGCATCATGTACATGGAGTAACGTTTGTCAGTTGTCAACATGAATATTAAGTAGTTTTCAAGCAATTTTGAAAGCTAATAATTTATTTGGCATCTAATCGCGTCCAACGTCGTGCCACCAAATTCATCCTTTCCCTCCCTTACAGATCAGACGTTTTGTACAAAGACCGTCTCCAGTCTATCGGTATTCTTCCCATCCGCTATTGGCTCGAGTTTCTAGATTTAGTTTATCTCTACAACTGTGTTGTTAATGACTCTGATACAAACATCTCAATACGGGTTTCTAATCGTAGAACCAGAAACTCTAATTCCGACAATGGTATTCTACTAAATGTACCTAAATCCAAGACTGTTAGCTTTCAAAACAGTTTTTACGTAAGAGCACCCAGCGTTTGGAACATTCTACCCGATATCCTCAGAGACACTACAAGATCTATAGCTTCCTTTAAAAGTTTACTATTTAGATACGACTTTAACCTTCTCGAACACGTCTACAACCCAGACAATCCTAGAACCTTTAAATCGGTGTGCGTCAAATGCCACTCTACTCGTTCTATTCAAAATTTATCTTTCAGATCATGTTGTTGACAGTTTGGCGAAAGCCAATTAATGTTTTTGTGCATGTATATTAATCTGTCTTTTTTGTCGGGACCCCGTTATTGGAGTTTATCTCTGTGGTCAGTCCCAGCCAATGCACTCGTAGATATTTGAATAAGTTTAATATTTGTTTGGTGCGGCGAATCTTGTAAAATAAAATAAAATAAAATAAAATTAGTGCAAGGATTTACGTCGTGTGCTACTTTCCCATGAAGCAGCCATAGCCTGTGATCAATCGCGCGTGTCAATTTTGGACAGACAGACAAACTGACCAGAAACAGAATACCTTTTTGGCTTAAACTAGTTAGAAAACTTTTTTCATAAATAAAGGCCATAGTAATTGGGAACGTAGTACAGCACAAATAATTTCTCACCCCGATTTACGATCGATTAGGCTGGCTCGTCTACAGGCACAGTTGACATATACTGTTCAGATTCTACACTCCACAGTTCAGGCTTACGTGTAGACTTGGTGCCAGGTGTGTTCAATTTATGCCAATTGATACTACATTGCGAAATTAATAAAATTGTACACAAATTATTAGCCCCATATACATTGATACAAACCATAGAAATATTAGACCTAATATTAGGTCTAATGGTACAAACAGGCAGATAGGAAATATCTATAAAACTAGTAATTTTGAAAACGTCAATAAAGCTCCTGCAGAGGAATGTGTATTATTATAGGGAGTTTAAGCTTCACGTTTCCGGGAACGGCAAACGGCAAACGGCAGGTTCGGTTTCGTTTCATATTGTCTTTCTTGCGTCGAAAGAATAATTATATGTATTTCAGTTTTAAAACAGCAAGTTTATTCACTCTTTATTGCCTGATACCGTAAATGTTTTCTTTGCCTGGCGTTTGCCGTTTGTGCTATAACGCGAAGCTTTTAAAAACTCTCTATTAGCTCAATCGTCTAGCGACGCAGACTATAGTGTGACAATCACGTGCTAATATTTTGTTTTCCAAGTAGACACCGGCTTCCGTAGAAAGTTATTCCATATAAGCATAACCGCCATATGAAAATCACATGGCTGATATTAGTTCTCTTCGGTCCATTCACTGAGTTCAAACAGTCTCTTGGCTGTGAGGTATTCTAACTCTATCAAGTATACGCTGCAGCACCAACTGAAGGAAGCACCGCATTCTGTTAAGATAGATCTATGATCACTGATCACTGATCGCTTTCGACTAAACATTTCCACACCAGAATATGAGTTATGTTGCAAGCTGTCTGTCATTTGCTTGTGTATAAAGTACTGTTGGAAGTTTTGCTGTTTGCCAGTCAAACAAATGGTATGTAATTCGTATATAAGCCCGTTGGCGTTGCTGAATGATTTCTATATATATTATATATATAATATATATATATATATTATATATATATTATATATTATATATTATATTATAAGTAAAATATCGTATAATATTTATTCAAATTATGTGGTACGAGAAACACAAATGGTGACTGAATGGTGAATAAATTCGCCTTTCAGTCTCGGCTGCATTATATACCTGAGTAAATCGTCATTTTTATGCGTTAGCTGAAACTCCGAATTGACTTATTGTTTGGATGAGCCGTGTATAGGAGTCGTGGGGATAAGCTTAATTTCAATCTTCCAAAAAAAAGGAAATTACTCTGATGCATGGGAGCAATTTTTGTGGGTGGGGAGGGAGGGAGGGAGGGAGGGGGTGGTCGTAAGCCTTCATTGATTGTGCTACTAAATCGAAGGAAAGTTGCTCTACTAAAAAATGGTGAAAGGGTGCTCAAAAGGTTCCAAAAATTGGAAAAGGTGCTCCCAGATTTATGATTTTTGCCAATGGTAGCCATTTTATGTCGAATAAGCATGTTAAATATTCAATTAAAGCAAAATATAGCATAAGCTTTCTTTGGTTGACATGAATTTTTCGCTTTATACGAGAAATCGAAGAGCTTTTTAACGCCCGTATTCTAAAAGATCACTCACACTCAAAGAGTGGAAGTTCAATCTGAGCTTCTCTCGAGTGTCATTGCTGTTTTTGAATAGCCGGAGGGTTAGTGTCGTACCTTACTATGTGACTACTCACCCTCCAGCTATTCCAAAACAGCATTCGCACTCAAGAGTCAAGGGAAGCTCAGATTGAACCTCCACTCATTGAGTGTGAGTGAGCTTTTAGAATACGGGCGTAAGTCTACATGGGCGTACCGGAAGGAAAAAATTAGGGGGGCGGAAAGAAAATTGCCCGACTGTTCGGGATTGTGCCCGACTAGTACCAAAATAATTTTTCCGGAAAAATTATTTTGGCGACCTCCCCCCCCCGTCGTGTACCATTTTAGGGGGCAAAAAAATTTTCCGGACAACCATTATTTTTCGGAACATAACACAAATTTTCGAAAAATCACAAAATTTGCCAAAAAATTGACTTAATTTTAAACAAAATTTACAGAATTTGTCCCATTTTTTTTTATTGCAAACCAAAATTGCCCGACTGTTGATCGAATATTGCCCGACTGCCCAAAAAACTGGGGGGGCTACCGCCCCCCCCCCCCGCCCCCCCGCCCGGTACGCCTATGTAAGTCTAAGATAGTGTTGTTTTAGTGGTGTTTTCAATTTAGTGTTTTCAATTTAGTTTTAGTTCAGTATTAGTTTAATGCAGTAATTTATGTTCAGTTTAGTTCTAGTTTGAAAAAGGAATTTCTTTTTAGTTTTAGTTTAGTTCTAGTTTGAACAAGCCTTGTTACAAGCCATCAAGGTCAAGGATTTTTTTTTCGTTTTAGTTTAGTTCTAGTTTGAAACTGAAATTTTATTTTAGTTTTTGTTTAGTTCAATTTTGAAACAGGAATTTCATTTTAGTTCTGGTTTAGTCCTAGCTAAGCAAACATTTAGTTTTAGTTTTCAGTGGTTCAAATATGTACGAAAATGTTTGTGCAAAGGCCACTACTAGGCCAGGAAAGACCGGCCAAATATTATATATTCAAAATCAGGCATTGCATGTTATTTCGAATTCAAAATTGCTTGATTTACCAGACAACTTTATAAATAAACCAGGGTCGAGGTTTCGAAAAATTGTTTCGGTTTTCCAGGAACAGGAAGTATATAAAATCATAGGCGGAAACTTCGCTACAGTTCACGATCGTGTACAAAGTCCCCTCGAAGGCCAAATTTTAGGGACCGGTCATTATTTATGGAAAGGGGGGAGGGGAAAAATAGGGGGGGGGGGG